GCCCCAGGCCACGCCCACGGCCACGCCCGCCCAGGCCACGCCCACGCCCGGCCGCCCGCCCACAGCCAGCGAGCGGGCCGCCCTGCAGGCAGCGCAGCCCCCCCTACGGCGGGCCGGCCCCACTGGCTCTCGGGGTACAGCGCAGGCGCTCGCGAGGGTAGCCCTTCTCCAAAATGTGCTGTTCCGTGTCGAGTTGGCTGGCCCACGGCAGTGAGCCAGGCTTGCTTTCAGTTTGCCCTGGGAAAAGGGACATTATTAGACACGGACAGAGCTGGGGCTGGAGATTCAGATATCGCTAAAGAATGTGGTGACACTAGTCAAGTTTTTTACACTTTTATTTTGGTGGTAAAATACATACAGCACACTTCGTTTTAACCACCTCTTTAAGTGGCTCAGTGGCACTCCAGACATGCACATGGTGTAAGGTTCCCACGGCCAGTCTCTAGATACCTTTTTCTATTTTCAGTCTGCTCTAGGGCGTGTGTGCTCTCGGAGGGGATGGCCACACCATAATCCCTTCTCCATTCTCTATGGACCTTAGGCACGCGCAGGGGCCTGGCGTGGTTTTCATGCCGCCAGTCTAGGACTTGAACACATCAGCCATGTGGGCTCCGCTCCACCTGCCTTAACCAACACGCCACCTGCTGGCCCTTTTGTGGGGGGGGGCGATTTTCGCTATAGGGGGCGTGCGCTCGCCAGACAGAGAGAGACATAGAGACACAAAGCGAGAAATCACCCCCCATGGGGGATGGTCACACCGCAATCCCTTCTCCTCCATTCTCCTCTCTGGATCTTGGGCACGCACGCACACACGCCCGGCGTGAGTTTTAAGCCACCGGTCTGGGACGCGAACCGCGGTCAACTACTTGGGAGTCCAGCGACATAGCCATTACGCTAACTGCTGGTTCCTCTGCTGGCCCTTTTTAAAGAAAGCGTCACTGAGACGTGAGTTACACACTATAAAACTCAGCCCCTTCACATTTTTTTTCATAGAGCTGTGGAATCAACACCTTAATAAAATTTTAGAAAATTTGTATTCCCCAAAGAAGCCCATTAGGAGTTATTTTCCATGTCCCTCCCTTCCCCTCGGCCTCAGGCAACCACTGACACCTGTTCCACTTCTATAGCTGTCCTGTTCTGGACAGTTCATGCCACTCTAGGTGCAAACACGTCCCAGGGAGTTTTTGGCGGCTGTTTTTAGCTGCTGAGATTTGGAGGGAGGCTCCCGGAGTAGCACAGCAGGCATGGCTGTGCAGCTCCCCTGCCCTGCATACTGGATTCCTTTATGGGTAACCACGCTTCATTCCCTTCCAGTTACCTGACATCTAGGTCTCATTTGTGCTGGTCATGAAAATGCCATGAGCACTCATGTACAAGATCTTGTGTGGACTTAAGTTTTCATTTCTCTTGGACACACTACAGGTGGAATGACTTGGTCATGTGGTAACTGGTTAACCATATGACCCCGAACTGATGAACTGTTTCCAAAGAGGTGGCCCAGCCACCACTTACATTCTCGCCAGCAGCGTGTGAAGCTTTCAGTGTCTACTTCCTCACACTTACTTGTGTACTTTTATTTATTTCTTAAGCAGTTTGCTATAGGAGGGCCAGCAGGTGGTGTGGTTGTTAAGGGCGCTGGACTCCCACATGGCCAACTGTAGTTCAAGTCCCGGACCTGGTAGCTTGCTCTCTCCCACTCCCCGCCCACTTCTCTTTCGTTCCCTTGCTCTGTCCCTCTCTAGTCAAATTAAATAAAGTTAAATAAAATAATTGTTTTTTAAAATTTGCTGTAAGACCACCAGAGATAAAGTGAGAAACACCTCTCATGGGTGTTGGGAACAATCCCTTCTTCATTGCTCTCTCCTTTGGGGAGTTTGGGCATGCAGGCACACGTGTAAGGCATGTTCTTCAAGCACCAGGTCTGGGACTTGAACTGTTCAGGTGGCCATGTGGGAGTCCAGCTATCTTAGCCACCACACCACCAGCTGGCCTTTGTGTACTTTCTATGTGACCACCATGAAGGTGTGAAGCCGTCTTAATGTAATTTTCATTTGTGTTCCCTGACGTTTAGCAATCTAGAGCATCTTTCCATGGACTGACTTGGTCATTTGCAGAAATATCTATTTGTATTCTTCACAGACTTTGAAAACCAGGTTATTATTGACATTCTTTATATATTATGGACAGAAGGTTCTAATCAGACATCATTTGAAAACATTTTCTCATATTTTCTGAATTGTCTTTTCAGTTTTTAGGTATCATCTGCAGCAGGTTTTGGATTTTTTTAAAGTACAATTTATTGATTTTCTTTTGTTGTGTTTTTGGTTTCTTTTACATCTAAGAATCCACTGCCCAATTGAAGGTCATGAATGTTTACTCTACTTTCTTCTGAGAGTTTATCATCTTAGCTCTTCCATTTACATCTGTGAACCCTACCCAGCCTCCGCCAGCCCTGCCTGGGCCTGCTGCAGTTGAGAGCCAGTTGAGGTCTTCAGATGAGAGCCTCTTGTTTAGGTCAGCCTCACAGAGTGTCACATTTTACTGCTACACTACCATCCACACCACCTCCAACTTTGATCTTTTGCATATAGATATCTAGTTATTCCATCAGCATTTATTGGGAAATTTTAAGGTTTTTGCCTAGGGCATGTGCACTTGCCAGCGAGAGAATGAGAAAGTGAGAAATCACTCCCATGGGGGATGGCCATGCTACAGTCCCATCTCCTCCATTCTCCTCCTGGGTTTTTGCGTGTGTGTGGCATGCATACATGCCTGCATGATTTTTAATTCGCCAGGTCTGTGACTTGAACCACAGTTGGACATGTGGCAGTCCAGTGCCTCAACTACCAAACCATCTGCTGGCCCTTATTTGAAATATTTTTGTTTATGTGAAAAGATTATCCTTCCCATCAGATTGTCTTGCCAGTCTTGAAATTCAATGACAGAGGGAAGCTATGCTCTGAGCTCCATCTCCTAGACTCCAGAAATATTCAGACAAGGTCGGGCGACCTCCGTCTTTTCTCTGTCTCTGGCTGTCTGTCTCATACTCTCTGTCTCTTTAAATTAAAATTTTTTTCTTAAACTTTTCAAACACTTTTCCTCACCTTGGGCCTTTTCTTTCATTTGTTAATTCCAGAAGCCATTTTAAAGCTGAGGTGTGTTCTGGCATGTTTGCACAGCACAGGGCACGCTAGCGTGCTGTGTGGTTTTCATTTTTTATGTATAAAGAAAATTTTTTTTCCTCTTTTTGGCAGTATTTTTCTTTTTTTTCCTTTTGCTTATTTTTTTTAATCCTTACTTTCCCATTCTAAGCTTCATTCTCCACACACTGAATGTCTAGATTGGCCTAGGTGCAGAGTAGCAAAGCATCTGAATACTTTTAGAATCATTGTACTCCTCATCACTTATTGAACCCTTTATGTATAAAGAAAATTTTTTTTCCTCTTTTTGGCAGTATTTTTCTTTTTTTTCCTTTTGCTTATTTTTTTTAATCCTTACTTTCCCATTCTAAGCTTCATTCTCCACACACTGAATGTCTAGATTGGCCTAGGTGCAGAGTAGCAAAGCATCTGAATACTTTTAGAATCATTGTACTCCTCATCACTTATTGAACCCCCTGCTTTAATAAAGAAATTTCTTTTTATCAATTTGAACTCCTAATCTTTCTGTGGATACCACATTTCAAAGCTCAGTGGAGAATAGATTTTGTCACAGAATGACCAAAAACAACCACAGAGGCACAAGGAACATGAGAAATCAGGAAAATATCTCTCTCCTAAGGGAAAAGAACGATCCCTCATCATCCACAGACAGTACAGTAAATCTCATGGAAATGTCTGACAAAGAATTCAGAATATTCATAGTGACAAAACTAAAGGAGATGCAAGAACTGAGAGATAATGAACTCCAGAAGATGCAGGAGAAAAGAGACAACAAGTTCCAGGAGGGGTTGAAGTTCTTCCATGACCTGAAAGAGGAAATACACACCATAAAACAGAGTCAAATGGAGATGAAGGCCTGCCATTCAGGAAATCAAAACCTCACTCGAAAGTATTAAAAGCAGATTAGTCCATGCAGAAAATCGAATCTTGTATGTTGAAGGCAAAACCTCTGATCTAGAAAAAAAATAAAATAAAACTGAGAAAATAACCCAAAGAAATGAGCATACTATACGGGAAATACTAGACAGCGTTAAGCGCCCAAACATCCAGATAATTGGTACCCCAGAAGGTGAGAAAACTAATAAGGGCATTGATAATCTATTCCATGAAATCTTGGAAGAAAACTTTCCAAACCTAGAGAGGCACTCAAATATTCAGACCCAAGAAATACAAAGGACCCCACATAGAATCAACCCAAGAAGATCTTCTCCAAGGCACATCATAGCCAGACTGGCCAAATCTACAGACAAAGACAAGATACTAAAACTGGCAGGAGAGAAATATCAGGTTATTTATAAAGGATATCCCATCAGGCTAACCTCAGACCTCTCATCAGAAAAGATGCAAACAAGGAAAGAATGGGAAAATATGTTCAAAGTGTTAAGTGAGAAACAATTTCAACCAAGAATACTACACTTGGCACGATTATCTTTCATATGGAAAGAAAGGATAAAAACATTCTCAGATAAACAAGACCTGAAAGATTTTGCCAATGGCAGACCCATTCTTCAAGAAGTTCTGAAAGGAGGGCTCGACTAGGAAAACTAAAGACACATACAGAAATAAGAGAACAAAAGGCAACCAAGAAAATGACCAATTTAATGCTAGGGACAAAAAATATCAATAATCATGTTGAATGTTAATTTCCAGGATTTAAATGGAAAGATTGGACCACAGTAACACTGCATATTCAACAGAAGAGACTTTGAACATAAGATTAAAATTGTCAAATAGAATTTGACTTTTGAGCAAAACATTACTGATTTCTTTTTTTTTACTATGCTTTGTTTTCCCAATTTAAACATTTTACTTTCTTTTGAGTTGCTGATAGGTTCAGCAATTTCTTAAAATATTTTTGTTTGTTTCTTTAAATGGGAACATAAAATTTTCTTCCAGCCTGACCCCTCTTGAATTGGAAATATTTGGGAGTATTCTTATTTTTTGGCAGAAGGGTTATTTGCATAAGTTCAATAACGCTTGTGGAATTGAATCAGAAATTGGAAATACTCATTATTAGACAGGGCTTTGATTGGAATGTCAGACCTGAAGATTAACTTGTGCGCTGGGCATTTGCTTTTCAACAATTTGAGTAGTTGACATGTAAATGTTTTCTCAAAAATATTTAAAACCATATTGTCTCTGTTGTAATAAAGTCACAAGCAAAATTATACAGAATTATAGAAAATATTTTGAACATTATCTTTAAAATTGAGTAGTTTGAAATTGTGAAAGTTGTCTATTGACTGTCAAGAACTATGGACTATAAGTAAAAATTTTTTTTGATATGTAAAGCAAAAGTTTGTGGAAAAAATGTAAAAATAAGCAAATAAATGAAAAAAAAAAAAGAAATTCAGAGATGCTGGAGAGGATTTATTTCTGTGCTCTCAATTCTACCCATCCATCTGTATGTGAGTCTTAAAGTCAGAAAGTGTGAGTCTTCCAAATTTGTTCCTTTTCCAGACTGGTTTGGTTATTCTGGGTCCCTTGCATTTCCACATAAACTGTAGGATCGACTTGTCAATTCTCAGAAAAAGGCTAGGATTTTGATAGCGATTGTGTTTAATCTGTATACCAGTTTGGGAGTACTGCCATCTTGACAATATTAAGTCTTCTAATCCAAGAACATAGGTTATTTTCTTTTATTTAACTTGCCTAAGTCTTTTTAAAAAGAATTATTTTATTTAACTTTTTATATATTTATTTTATTTTAATTTTACCAGGGAGAGAGTGAAAAGGCAAGCTGCCAGATCCAGGACTCAAAACACAGTGGGAGTCCAGCACCCTTAACCATCAACGCCACATGCCAGTCCCTGCTTAAGTCTTCTATAACATCTATGATCATTTATAGCTATCAGTGTTCACACCTTACACTTTATTTTTCCTTAAGTACTTTACTTTTCAAAAAATGTTTATTATTGGGACCAGCAGTTAGCGTAATGGCTATGTTGCTGGACTCCCACGTAGTCGGCCACGGTTCGCATCCCGGACCCGGTGGCTTAAAACTCACGCCGTGTGCGTTCGTGCCCAAGATCCCAAGAGGAGAATGAAGAAGGGATTGCGGCGTGGTCATCCCCCCTGGGGGGTGATTTCTCGCTGTATCTCTCTGTCTGTCTGGCGCGCGCACGTGCCCTATAGCAAAAACCTCTAAAAAAAAGTTTATTATTATTATTATTTGGAGAGGTTTTTGCTATAGGGCACGTGCGCATGCCAGACAGAGAGAGACACAGAGAAACAAAGCGAGAAATAACCGCCCCCCCACCCCCCCGCAGGGGGGATGGCCACGCTGCAATCCCTTCTCCATTCTCTCGGGATCCTGGGCACGCACGCACACGCCCCCGGTGTGAGTCTAAGCCACCGTGTCCAGAAATCGCACCAAAGTTGACTACATGGGAGTCCAGTGACAGCCAATATGCCAACTGCTGGTCTCTATTATTATTTTTTAATTTGGCCAGAGAAAGAGCGAGGGAAAGGCAAGCCTATAGGTCCAGGTCTTGAACCATGGTAGACCACATGGGAGTGTAGCGCCCAACCACCATGCCACCTAATGTTCCTAATATTTTAAAGTTACTTAAATAGAAAATGTTTACAATTTAATGTTCATAATATTCATAGCTGGAATACAGAGATACAGCACATTTTTGTGTGCTCACATTGCACCCCACAGCCTTGCGGACTCATTCATTCCACTGAGTCGTTTTTTGGTAGGTTTGTTAACAAGATTATGTCTTTGTCAAGTACACAGTTTAACTTCTTCCTTCATGTGGATGCTATTCTGTTCCCAGGCCTAATTGCGCTGGCTAAAACATCTAGTACATTTCAGGTGAGTAGCAAGAGCAGACGTCTGGTCTTGTTCATCATCGAAGAAGAAAGTGATTTGTTGTTAACCATTAAGCATGATGTCAGCTTGGAGCTTTTAGAGATACTCTTTGTCGGGATGAGGACATTGTCTTCTATTCCTAGCCTATTGAGTATTTGTCATTAAAGGATGTTGGGTTTTGGAGCTGGCAGGTGACATAGTGGTTAAAGGCGCTGGAACCCACATGGCACAACCACGGTTCAGGTCCTAGACTCAGTAGTTTGCTTTCTCGCTTTCTCTCTCTCTGTTGCTCTGTGGTCAAAATGAAAAAATAATGATGATGAATAAAATTAAATATATTTTTTTAAAGAGTTTTATTTTTTTTAAATTTATTCATTCATTTAAGTTGACCAGAGAAAGACACACACACACACAGAGAAAGTGAGAAAACAAGCCACCACGGGACTCGAACCTTGGTTGGTCACGTGGGAATGTCCAGCACCTTAACCACCACATCACCTGTTGGCCCCAAAATGAAATAATTCTTTTTTTTTTTTAAGGATGTTGGATTTTATCCATTCTTCTGAGATTTGGGGCACACACATGCATCTGTTGTGTTTTTCAAGCCTCCGGATCCAGAACTCAAACCACACAGTTGGCCATGTGGGATTGAGCTGCCTTAACCATCATGCCACCACTGGCCCTCAAGTACTTTTTCTGCTTTTATTGAAATGATCAGTTTTTTCTTTTAATTATTTAATTTTATTCATTCATTTATTTTAATTTGACCAGAGAAAGAGAGAAAGAAAGAAAGTAAGCCACCAGGCCTGGGACTCAAACCGTGGTCTGTCATGTGGGAGTGTCCAGTGCCCCAACCACCATGCCACTCACTGGTCCTCCGAAATGATCAGTTTTAAAAATTCTTATTTTTTCATTGTATTTCCTTCCAACTGAACAAAATAGATATTTTGGGAATCTGTCGATTCTTTTTGCTGAACTGAATTCAATAGGGCTCTCTGGGTAGGCAATTGGATAGGAGTAAAAATTCAAAAACTCTTTTGTAACTATTGATAATAATCACCTATTGTGAGGCTCTGCTTGCTCAAGAGCTTTTTTCTGACTTGAACTGGAAATAGTAAAACCATGTTCTCTTTCAGGCCGTGCTGTTTGCAGACTCTCCCTTTGCCTTTCAGTTATTCAGCAGACGTTTATTTGGCATGCACGTGGGACACGAAGTCACAGCTGGAAACAGAGTGGTGAGCCCTCGTGAGGTCCCTCAAGCACAGAAGCCTTACTTAACACAGAAAATGGAAAACATAACTTGGGATCCTGACAAAGATCCCGGGGTTAGAGTTCATGGTGTTAAGAGACATCTAGCAGGTGAAAAGCCGGAGGAGCTCAAGAAGGGCTTCCCTAAGAATGGAGAATTTGACCTGCAGGATGAGTGACACTCACCAGCGACGGCGCTGGAGGCAGCTCAGGGCAGCTCCACAGGGACAACCTGGCCAGGCAGGATGGGACGTTGGGGACTTCGCATGAGCAGCGAGGGGCGCCGCTCAGGGGCTTCCAGAGGGCGTAACAAGTCAGCCCCGCGTGTTCACTCTCGGGCTCTGTGCACAGAAGAAAGGCTACGAAGGGCGTGCACGAAGGAGCCGTTTTAAGACATACCGGGCCCGTTCCGCCCGACTCGGACCCTCCGGTCTCCCGGGCCCGTCCCGCCCACTGAGGCCCGCCTCTCTCCCGGGGCCCCCCTTGCCCGCCCCCTTCCCCCCGCAGCAGGTCGCAGGTGACAGTGGGCTCATCTCCCTGACCACACTGGCCCCTGCCCGCCCTCTTCGTAACT